AGAGAGAGAGAGAGAGAGAGAGAGAGAGAGAGAGAGAGACACACACACAAAGAGAAAATCAGCCGTTTGAACTTGAACTTATTCTGGATCAAAGTGTGTAACTGACCCCAAAGCTCAACCTCCAGGAGGAGGAAGTGAAGAAGAAGAGGAGGAGGAGGTGAAGAAGAGAGGGAGAAGAGGAGGAGGAGGTGAAGAAGAGAAGGAGGTGAAAGAGGCGATCCTCAGGGTCACTTGAGTGAAGGTGATGTGAGACCTGGTAGCAGGTGAGACAGATCCAGTTCTCAGCTTCAGAGCCACAGTCCTGACACGGCATGTAGATGTTTATACCTGAGGAGGGGAGGGGCTTAACAGAGTCCAGGTGAGGACACCAGGAGAGAGGGTCGACCACGTATAGTGATGACTGACAGAGACAGACAGACAGACAGGTTAATCTCAGATCGGTGTCTCCTCAGACAAACTCATCGTATCAAATGTTTCCTGACTTCTTCTGTTCGTCCTCCACACGTCAGCTCCACACACATCTGAGGCTTTGACCAACCACACGCCCCTGCTGCCTCAAGCTCCGCCCCAGCTCCTCCAGCAGCTTCATCTCCGACAGGAACAGCAACAATCTGAAACCATTAAAAAGATCAAGAAGCGATTTCAGAAAATGAACCAGTCACTTTGTGATGTCACAGTATGATGTCACAGGTGTTACAGATGAAAACTGGACCAATCACCTGAGTCTGGGGCAGTGTGCTGTCTGCTGATTGGTTCTGCTCACATACGGCTAGACTGCCGGACTCCGCCTTCACTTCACCCTCACATGTGACCTCCGGGCTGGGCCGGACCTTCGCCCTGGCCCCGCCCACTGGAGTGGACGTTGCAGGTGCGTGACTGACGGAAGTTTGGCTGATGTCCAAACTGGCCAATCCCTGAGTGAGCTGGTGAAGACTCTGCTCTGCCTGATTGGACGAAAAGAGACACCAGGTAGAGACAGGGTTACAGCAGGTTCCAACACGGTTCCAGTTTTATATGATTGTCTGAACTGTCACCGCTGAGTCCTTCGCTCCTGCAGGGGGCAGCAGGGGTCTGTCTGTGCCGCTCTGCTCTGACTTCCTGCCTTTTCCTTTCGAACTACGTTTCCCACGATGCTTCAGGGGGGGCAGAGATGCCCGCACCAACTCTGGGACTGACAAAAAAGAACGATATGAAATAAACAAATCAACAAACAAATTAAAACTAAATAAACGCTCCCTGTACTGACTGTTTATCCTCAGGGACCTCCAGTAGGGGGCGTGGTGTCGGATGACCTCGTTAATTGTTGCCACAGCGCCGTGATGAGGAGGGGGGAGTGGGGTCACCAGGGATGGAGGAGGGTCTCCTAGCAACATGCTGGTGCACATCGCCATGGACTCAGAGATGGACGACAAGTTGTAACCTCCCTGAAGAGACGGAGACAAGAATGAGTCACAGCTCAACTACGACGAGTCAGAGGCGATGACGTCACCAGGAAGAGAGGTCACACTGTTTCCATTAATAAGTGATGACATCATTTGATTTCACATTAATACACGTTTCTTTGTTTGACATCACTTCACCTCCAGTATGAGAAGGACCCGCCCCCCGGCCAGTGACATCAGCAGGTGTGTGAGGTGGGCGTATCCCTCAGGGGTCACATGATATCCACCTAGCGGGTCACCCCGTGCTGCATCGAACCCGGCCGACACCAGGATCAGACCAGGGTTAAACTGCAAAGAGGGGATCGACCAATCAGAGGACTCCGTCAGTTCTGACCAGAGTGTGTGAGTGTGTGTGTGTGTGTGTGTGTGTGTGTGTGTGTTTGATACCTCGGTAGCTATCGGCATGACAACGTGGTGAAAAGCAGCAAGGTATTCGGAGTCGCCCATCCGTCCTCCGCTCCACGCCACGTTGACGTTAAACCCTGCCCCTTTGGCCACACCCACTCTATTTGGGGCGGCATCCTCTGATGATGGAAAGAATATCCCGTTGTCATAGCGATGGAGGGAGATGTACAGGACACTGGAGACAATGGAGAGTGAGAGTCCATCATCATGTTGCATCACACATCTCCTCCTCCTCCTCCTCCTCCTCCTCACCTGTTGTCGTCCTCGAACATGTGTTGCGTCCCGTTGCCATGGTGAACGTCCCAGTCCAGGATGAGGACTCTCAGTGGTGCAGGTTGGGAGATTTTCTGGGCATGACGAGCGGCGAGTGCTGCTGTGTTGAAGAAGCAGAAGCCACATGGAGAGTCTCTCTCTGCGTGATGTCCCGGAGGTCGCACGATCGCCACGCCGTTACTCACCTGTAGAGGAAACAGTCTGTGATAAGAGCTCACCTTCACAAGGTGTGTGTGTGTGTGTGTGTGTGTGTGTGTGTGTTACCTCTCCTCTCAGGATTCTCTCCACAGCATTAAAACAGCCTCCGGCTGCAAGCTGAGCAGAATGAAAACTCTGGTTGTTGAAGAAGATCGAGTTAAACTCTTCTCCAAGTTTATGAAGATCTCTGGACTTCATCACTGACGATGATTTAATGAGCTCCACATGCTGCATACTGACACACACACACACACACACACACACACACACACACACACACACACACACACACACACAGTCACAAAGTGTTTCTACTGTTAAGTTATTTTTAATAATAATAAAAGTCACATTCAGATATTAAAGTTTTCTGTCCACTGAGATGGCTTTTAATTTGAAAATGTCACAGGAAAGTTAAAAACTGATGAGTCGTAATCTGAACATGTGATGTCACAACCTTCAGCTTCACGTCTGACGAGGTCAGAGGTAAGTACCTGTGACACATGGTCAGCTCCTCCTCTGTTGCTGGGCGCGCTGGTATCCGCTGGCAGCGTTTGACCAATCCGAGCTGCTGGTGTTTGGAGAAGATCTTGGAGATTCTCTGCGGCTGCTCCGGGTGATGTCTGCGACACACGGTTCACGGTTCAACGCTTCGTCAGGTCTGCCACATCAAGCTCACGCGACCGGCCCACACGTGACTCACCTGTCCCACATGTTCAGATGCTCCATCATCCTGTCATCATAAACCAGACCTGTTGTCGTGACAACAGAGGGGGCGGAGCTGGGCTGCTTCGTGCTCTGCTCATCGCTCATAGCTCTGATGACACTGCCCTCGGCCAATGAGCTGCCTTCTGCACAGAAACCAGGAAGAGAGAAATTCAGGAAGTAAAGATGTGAGACAGGGTTAGACCTGATTCTATTACAGGTATGAATGTACAGGTGAAGCCATGTTTTGACCTAAGTCCCACCCCTCCACCCTGACTCCCCCGTCTCCACTGTGTGCATCTTACCCAGCACCTGCAGACTCGCCCAGTGTGGGTACTGAGCACTAACGGTCCGGGAGATCGACTGCAGGGCACTGAAAGAGAGAGAGAGAGAGAGAGAGAGAGAGAGAGAGAGAGGTGGGTGGAGCGCGCTCAGTGCACAGGTGAGACGTTACAGGACTGACGGTCACATGACTCACAAAGACAGCAGCTGTTGTGGGAAGCGTATCGAGTGAAAGGCATGCTGGGATACAGAGACAGAAGTTGGTCACATGACTCACCTGTCAGATGTGACAGTGGGCGGAGTCAAAGAAGGACAGGCTCCTCCCAGCAGAGCTCTGACACAGGCTGCAACACCCTCTGCTGTCGACTGCAGATTATAACCTCCCTACACACAGTGAGAGATTGAATGAGTGTGTGTGTGTGTGTGTGTGTGTGTGTGTGTGTGTGTGTGTGTGTGTGAGAATGTATGAGTGAGTTACGCAGAATGATTTTACCTCAAGAGCAAGAACAAGTCGACCTTCAGCCAAACTCATCAACAAGTGAGTCAGAACATGGAAACACTGAGGACTCACACACATCTCCCCCTGAACACACACACACACACACACACACACACACACACACAGAGTTAGATCAGTGTACACACAGTAATAAAAATAATCACAGATCAATAACAAACCTTCTGATCTCCGACTGCAGCATCAAATCCAGCAGAGACCAGAACCAGCTGAGGCTGAAACTGAACACACACACACACACCATGATTATTACCAGTATCATTGTATATGAATGAGACATATATGTATGTATGTGTGTGTGTGTGTGTGTGTGTGTGTGTGTGTGTGTGTGTGTGACCTCGTAGGCGACAGGCAGCAGCAGTTGTTGGAAAGCAGTAATGTAATCAGCATCAGTCATCCCCGTCTGAATGAAGTTACAGGAAGAAGAAAAGAGAGAAACAGCGTCTGTTTCCATGGCAACATTTATTGTAATATTTTTTGGGCAATTAAATAACTGAAAGTAATTGAGTCCTTTTCCATTTTGTCTCGGTTATTTGTGGCTGTAGCCTCAGATGAGGACACTCAGTTATGGGACATGTGTCTCACCTTGTCCCAGGCCAGGTTCATGGTTCGTCCTTCGGCTCGTCCACTGCCCACGAACCCCCCGTCTGACTCGGCCAGGTGAGGCCAGAAAGATCCCTGCTCGTACCTGTGGACGCTGAAGTACAGGACACTGGGGGGAGGGAGGGAGGGAGGGAGGGAGGAGGGGTTGTGATGTATTGTTAGTGACAATGTTAAGTTTGTAAAGTTTGGGACACAAATAGAAGATGAACAGTTTACCTGGGGTCTTCCTGAAACAGGTACTGGATCCCCTGACCATGATGAACGTCCCAGTCCACTATCAACACTCTGACACACACAGACACACACAGACACACAAGTATCAGCCTCGTACAGGTCAATCTTATTAATGTTATTGATATATTGATGGACACATCTCAGACTGTTACATCCTCTTAATCTTCTTAATTCTCTGCATACACACACACAC